TTTAGTAACCTTATCAACAAATTTGTTGTTTAAAAACTGGATGTATCTCATTGGTAGATCATGGGCTCAGTACCACAGAATGTCTTTAAAAATAATTTATTAATCCAAAATTATATTATAATATTATGGAAATGATGAGAAATTTGCTCAGTAATTTATGTATAAAGATGTTGGGGGCTGGAATGATGACTCACTGGTTCAGAGTGTTTATTGCTTTTTCAGAGGACCCAGGTTTGTGTTCCAGCACCCATATAATAGCTCACAGCTGTCTGTAACTCCAGTTCCAGAGGGTCCATTTTTGGTCTTGGAAGCACAAGGCATACACACATAGTGTGCTTACATGCATGTAAGAAAACACTCCTACACATAAAAATCAATTAAATCTATTTTTCAAAGAAAGATTATTGTTGTATTGCCTATAGTAACAAATAATTAAAAATAATGTTATTGTTTTATATTTATTGGTATGTCCTTAAAATTTTATACATTATTATAAACAAAAATAAAAACATCATACATCAACATTAAACAGACCCAACACCATGTTAATGCTAAAGCAATACTTAAAACTAATACAGTGTTTATAAGATATTATGTAGATATTTAATATTGTTTAGAAACATTTTTAAATAACACAAATGATGATTACAATATGATATAAATAAAATAATAAAAATTATATAAATATAATTTCAGTTACATAAAAATTTATCAAAATATTTGAAAATATAATTCCTAGAATTTTAACACTGATCAACTTAAAATTTTAGGATTATGAAGAGATGATTTATTCTAAGAACTTTCTTACTATGTACAAGGCCTTGCATTCCATTTTATGTACAGTATGAACTGTATATAAAGTCATTTAATTCTCATTTCAAAACCTAGTGATAGCAGACAGAAAGATGAGAACTTTAAGATTATTATTTATTTCATAGTGTGTCTAAGGCTAGTCTGGAATATTTGATACTGTGTCTCAGAATAAATTATAAAGAAGAAACAATATCTGGAAAGCAATTATTTTTATCCTTTAGTATTAAGCAACCATTTAATTGCAACACTCAGAACTGAGACTTCCTTTTCGATTTTGTGGCAGTTATCAAGTTCTGTGTTTCAGCAGGTGTACATTTGTTATGAACTCATAAAATGAAAAGTTTTCAGTTTGTTTTGAATGTAAATTTAGGATGACATGGTACTTGAATTTTTCTATTAATTACAGTAAATTGTCACAAAATATGAAAACAGAATGAGACCGATATATATTTCTAAATCACTGCTATTCTCTCTGGAGAATTTCCACTGAAAACACAAAGGAAGTATAATTTAGGCACATTTGGAAGTAAGGACAAATCTCAGGCAACATTCACTCTCATAAAATAGATCTGCTCAGATAGATTCACAGAATTTTTGCCTATGGCTATGTGAGCTGTTCTGCCCCAGAGATATCTATTTCAATTCTCTCTGTGGGATTCATTGCTATACAGCATTCTTTAGAGGATCTTTTTATCCCCACTACAAATAGATTTTATTTCTTCCATAGTCTACTTACTGTCCCTCAAAAATTCTCAGCCACTTATCTAGAATTTTTATAAAACTTTATAGTTAAAGGAATTCAAATATTTACATTGAAGAAAGTATATCATAAAACCTTGGAGACTTCATATTGTTACATAAAAGTTTAATGCATGGAGATGTACCATCTGACATATATATGGTTCCCTTAAAAGTAATCTAAGTACTAGCTTCAGAACAATAATATATTAAACAATGAGATTCATGAAAAATAATCTTTAGAAATATGGTGATGGCTTTGTGAATGATTGGCTTCAGTTCTTCATGTTCATTCATTTTTCAATGAAAAAAAATACTTCATTTATTTAAGAAATTGAATGTGTTTAGTCATTGTTTACATTGTGCTGGTATATAATACCTTGTAGAATTATTTAAAAATGGATTCATGTTTCTATGTCTGTAGTAAAGTCAGTATATTGTGGTAGTGTGCACATTTGATGTTAACTGCTCATTTAACGGCAGACTTGAAACAAAAAGAGATTAAGGAACCAAAGGCTGTGTATAGTTTTCAAAAGACACATAGTGATCAATATCTTATAGTTAGGTCATGCATCCCCAAGTTTCCTTTATTTCCCCCATAAAGCACCAGTAGGTAGAGACTAAGTGCTCAAAATGTAGTACTATGGTAGCATTTCACCATAATGTAAAGGTAATATGTAATAATGAACCACTCTCCACTTCATTTTTCAGTTCAAGTTGCCGCACCACTGGATTGTACCACCAACTTTTAGGATGGGTCTTCCAACCTCAACCCTGTATGAAATCTGTAACAGATATGTCTACGAGTTTGTGACTGTCTTGGGATTTCTATTGCCGTGAAGAGAAATAGTGGCCATGGCATCTCTTATAAAGGAAAACACTTAATTGGGAATGGCTTACAGAATCAGAGTTTTAATTTATTACTGTCATGGCAGGAAGAATCACCAGTGGACCACAGGAAGACATGGTGTTGGAGAAAGAGCTGAGAGTTCTACATCTGCATACACAGTCAACAGGAAGAGAGACAGAGAGACACTGGGCCTGGCTTAAACTCTTGAAAGCTCAAAGCCCACCCATAGTGACACACTTCCTCCCACAAGGCCACACTTCGTAGTAGTGCCTCTTCCTATGAACTTATGGAGGGCCATTTTAATTTAAACTCCCATGGTGTTTCTAAACTCATCAAGTTGACGATTATGAATAGCCATCATTAGCCACTGTAAATAAATTAGGTTGTAGAGAGAAGTTGGGATTAGAGCGGATTTATTTGCTATGGACTGAATAAAGTTCATCCCAAATTCATATGTTGAAGTTCTAAAGCCCGGATTGAATGAATTTGGAGATGCAGGCTTTAAAGTGGCTTGAGAGGTTGCTCCGCAGTTAAGACTACTTGCTACTCTTGCAGCAAGGACCAGAGTTCAGTCCCCAGCATTCACACATGGCAGCTAACAAGCCCTGAAATTCCAGTTCCAGAAGATCTGATACTCTTTCTTTCTGGCCTCTTTGTGCATCCATCCATATCTCACTAACACACACAAATACACACACACACAAATACACACGCAAATATAAATAAATAAAAATAAATAAATCTTACAATGAACAATGGATTAAATGTTAAATGAGGTCATTAAGAGTGAGCTTATAATCTGATATGGTTGATATATATTTTCCTTGTTTATTTTATAGAAAACATAATGCAAAATATTCTTATCATGCTTTTCACCTTCAGCAATTCCACCTGACTAGTTTCTTTTTGATAAGAGCTTTCCATTGCTATTCTCTCTCTCTCTCTCTCTCTCTCTCTCTCTCTCTCTCTCTCTGTGTGTGTGTGTGTGTGTGTGTGTGTATACAAATGAATATGTGCTGCAGAATGGCTGTATAAGAAATGTCATTTGTCTATTTGACAACTGACAAAGCAGAATTGGCATCTTCAAATTGGACTTCCAGTCTATAGAAATGTGAAAAAATAAATGTAGGCCTTTGAAGCCATGCAGTCTGTGGTACATTGTTATGGCAGTGGAGAGGACTACTATAAGCCCACAATCCATGAGCCTAAGCAGTTGGAAAGGAGCCAAAGACATAATTGATTATGATGGTGATCTCATCTCAAGTTCTGAGTTGGGGGAGTGCTTTTACCTCTCGGTTTAGGATGGCCGAGGTGTCTCAAGGTCATGTTAGGTGGGTTCTAATAGCTACTTCCCCAGCAATATCATTTCTCTTTGCATGGATCATGTTTAAAATTAGTTTTTATTTATTGGATTTTAAAGTGAGTTTATAATGGACTGAGGATTAAAATATAAGTAGATATATTCTGCAGTAGAGAGTATAAACATTGCAAATATGTAAAAATTGGAAAAGAAAACATTTATGTGTCAAATAAAAAAAGGCGGCAGTAGAAATCCTGTATAATGAATGCCACGAGAATTAGATATTATAAAGAATGACAGAAATCATTTTCTAAAGAAAAGTTTTAAAATAGTCCTACAAAATGAAATTGGCACTCAAAGGAGAAGCAAAGACAATTAGTAAAGGGAAATTTCTTTTTCTTTACTCCATAGATGAAAAGGCACAAAGAAATCTGTTAGAACAGCAATTACAGCAATTCTTCCCAGAACATCAGTTTTATGATTTACCAGAAGCTATTCTGACCCTTGGAGAAAAGATTAACACCTTATGTGATATCAAGAATTAAGAATAAAGAGATAAATGGTTACATTTTCTATATACAAGAGGGGTGGCAGGAAGAATAAAATTGGAAAATTTCTGCCAATCCCAAAGTCATGAGTAAGATCCAAAGACAATGTGTACTGCCTTTTAATGTGAAGATAACACTCATGCTAATTATTCATACCGTTATTTCTATCTTAGAAAAGAGAATACACTGTTCTGAGCTCACCATATTCTGGTAAGTACCTATGCTTACATGCTGGTAAGAAGTGTTGCTTGAGGTAAGGGACAAGAGACTTTCTTTATGATTATCAAATAGACTGCTAAAGATATAAACTGCCAGTTTTTTTTTGAACTTTGTCTAAGTTGCAGTAAAAAATTCAGACTGAAATATAAACCATCTGAGAAAGAAGGTGTATTAATACATAATTATAAATATCATAAATTTCAACATATCAACTTTTCCATTTCTAGCATAAATTTCCATATGTTGCATACTATTTATGTTTGGCTAAAATCACATACACTTTGCTCAGTATATATCATCATCTAAATTTCTTAGGTTTTGATGTTGATTTTTTTCTTGGTGTTATTGACAACTCAAGTAAAGGTTCAGGGTGCCTGGTTGGTTCCTATGTTGGTTCCCCAGCTGTCAGACTGGGGTCTATGAGTTCCTACTTGTTCAGGTCAGCTGTTTCTGTGGCTTTTCCCAGCATGGTCTTGACCCCTTTGTTCATCACTCCTACCTCTCTGAAACTGGATTCCAGGAGTTTGGCTCAGTGCTCGGCTGTGGATCTCTGCTTCTGCTTCCATCAGCTACAGAGCGGAGCAAGAAAAGAGACACATCAATAGAGGGAGCTGCTATAGGTTTAAAGAGAAATCTGGCACTAGGGAAATGTCCAGAGATCTACAAGGATGACCCCAACTAGGAACCTGAGCAATAGTGGAGAGGCTACCTTAAATGCTCTTCCCCTATAATGACAATGATGACGACCTTAAATGCCATCCTAGAGGCATCTGGAGGAGGCATATTATCTTGGGTGTTCAAGTTTGGGTTTTGTGAGGGGATCTAGGCATCTGGAGTTGGGATGTTTGCTATGCTTCTTGGCATAGATGTCTGTTTTGTCTTTGTTGTGTGGGTCTTTCATTCTTCGGTTTCTGTTGCACATTCTGGTTCTTTGTCAAGCTACGTTATCCCTGGTAGAGTATTTCTGGAGGTTAGGTGATGTCACAAAAGAATGGAGATGTGCTAAAAGCAAACTGTGAGAAAGGTTTCAGGAAAGAACTTGGGAGACCCTGGGTCCATAGCAAGAGGATAATATAATATATAATACTAATATATAATTTTAATATATTAATATATTATTATATAATATTATATTAATATTAATATTATTGTTGATATATAATATTTTTGATACAATCGCTTGCTATGTAGCTTTGGTTGACCAACATTCAAAGTTTTCTTGCCTACCTCTTAAGTGCTGAGAGTGTGAATGTGTAGGTGTGTGTGTGTGTGTGTGCGGGGGTTATGTGTGTTGTATTATATCCTATATGAAAAAGAGGAAGACAAATGAGGATGTAAGACATCTTCCTCTATCACAGTCTCTTATTTTCTTAAGACAGGTTCTCTCATTGAACCTAAGATTGGCCATCATACTTTCATCCACTAATTTTCCTTTTCTAATATTGGGATTATAGGCACATGAAGCCATGCCCATCTTTTCTTGTGGGTGCTGGTGATACAAACTCTGACGCTTAAGATTGCACAACCTTTAATACCCACATATGCATCTCCACAGTCTTAAGTTCTTAGTTCCTTTGTTTATTGTTGTTGATGATGATGATGATGAAGATGATGATGATGATGGTTTGTTGTTTTTGAGACATGGTCTCATTAAAGAGACATGGCCATGCTAGAACTTACTTTGTAGATCAGGTTGGCCTTCTACCTCCCTTTTCCTCCTGAGTGTTGTGTTTAAAGGAGTGTGCCACCACATGTGACCTGACATTTTAAATAAAGGTGGAAATGAAATGTTTTTATTTCTACTACAGGGTAAATTTTCCATACATAACTTTAAACTGTTTTCCAGTTCTCACATTTGATTTTTGGTAAGATGATTTTGGGTGTCATAGATATGTATTTATTATGTGTTTCTAATAGGTAGAACAGACATTTCATCTAGTGGAAACTTAATATGTAATAATAATTTTGCATGTATTTTTGTCTCAAGAGGATAAGTTAAAAATCTCAAAGTTGTTTTAACTTGAATTTCCCTGATAGCTAAGGATATTGAAATTTGTAAGTGTTTACTAAGTATTTATATTTTTATTTTGAGAATTTTCTATGTTCCAGAGCTCACTTTTCTTAAATTTGTCTGTTTTCTGGATATTTAGTGTTTTTAATTGTCTCTCAACACATTTGTCAATTTTCTTTGTGTACAGAATTATGAGATCCTGTTTGTGTATTGTTGGTCCTTTTTTCTGTGTTACTGGAATGCTACTCAGAAAGTCCTTATTCATAAGTATAAATTAAAGTGGACTTCTTAGTATTTCCTCTATCATTGTAAGGTTATAAGGTCTTATGTGAGAGACAAGATCTAGTTTCATGATTTTTTTCTGCATCTGAACTCCAAGCTTTCAAGATCTGTTTGAGAATGCTGTTTTCTTCTCTCCAATGCATAATTTTTGGCATACTTGTCAAGGATTAGGTAGTTGCAGTTATACTGTTATATTTAGGTCCTCTATTCTATTCCATTAATTTTTTTGCCTGTTTTGTACTCGTACTATGTTACTTTTATTACTAAAACACTATAGTGCCATTTGAAATCTGTTATGGTATTATCTCCTGTAGAATTCTTTTTGTTCAGTGTTGCTTAGTCTATCTTTGGTCATTTGAACCTCCATTTAAATTTTGAGACTACATTTGCTGTTTGTGAAGAAAGGCCCCGGTACTTTGAATGGGGTTGAAGCATGATGAAAATTTTAGGTAAATGGATAAAACTTAAAAATTATACCTAGTGAGGTCATATAGGGCCCCCAAAATCAATCCTAAATGCCCTCATTATATGTAGGTTCCAAATTCAGTGTTTTGTGTATTTAATTTTGACCACATGTGGAAGCTAATAAAAATCAGAAAAGAGACGTTGAGGGAATGCATTAAACAAGGGGAAGGGCAAGAGTATGGTGAAGTAAAAGTAGAGAAAACTGAAGTGTGTTTGAAAGCCATATAGGAACTTTGATCTTACTACTCAGGTAATAAGAAAAATAGATAAGAGTAGTGGATCTTCTGTTATATGGAAGAATCTGGAGAAATATTTGTTGCTAAAAAGTTTTAGGAGAGACAGAGACAGGGAATGGGAGAAAGAAGTTGGGAGGGGAGCAGGTTAATCAAAACAATGGATATATAAAATCCTTATGAAACAACACTAGTTTGTAAGATAATGAAAAATATAATTTTAAGAAGGGTGTCTGAACAAAGGTACCTAACATGGATGAATGATGCTGCTCTCAGAAAACATGAAAACTTCAGTGCTGGACATGATTTAACTAACCTCCTCGCTTTTCTTGGTCGGGGAGGCATTTTAGGCACCTGAAACAAACCATTGACACTGACATTTCTCTGAGTTGCTCATTTTAATGAGATGGTAAGAGTATTTCTGAAAACACTACATGCTTTGGGTTTAGGACATAGATCAATTTATCTTGAACATACAAAGAATCTCTCTCCATGTTATCTAGCTTTCATAGTGCTAGAAAGAGCTGTGAAGAATAAGATGGTATACAAGACCAATGTTGTGACTCAGCATTAGAACTACATGGTACAGTATAGACCTGCCACTGCTGCAATACTGGCACTGCTTTTTATGGAGATAAAAATAGTATCACCTCAATCTTGATTAGATTCCAGCTTGTTTCATGAGAATTAATAGATACATAATTCTGTAAATAGGTTTATAACCTAATTGCTACAGAGGTACTAAGCATTAGGGCAAAAACTTAATGTTGATCTTCTAAATATCCATGTTGTCAAACTGCCTTCTAAATATTTATGTTTATATCTATAATTTTTCCTGCTCTCAACATTGGTTAGAGAAACTTCTTACAGCAGTAGGTAGTGGTTCATACAGAGAAATATAACTATTTATAATACTGAGAATAATTGATTCTTAGTACATAGCATTATAAGTAACATCTCTATCAACTTGCTTCCCATGTCCTACCTAAGGCTCAGAGAACACTGTGAAAATGGGCACAGAAAGAATGTAGGAGCTGGAGAATTGGGAGGAATACATTGAAATGCTGGACACTGGGAATGACATTGCTTTTGCACACATGAAGTCACTATAGCTGTTTTTACTGGCTCAGGACCTGCATATGATCAAGCGAGTTCCAATTTCCAGTATGGGTGAGGGAAGGGCTCCTGGGGGAGAGTGAGTCACTTTTTTGGGGAAGATGGCCACTGGTAGGTTGCCTATTGTCCAGTAAATGACCTCCCCAACACACATATTGTATGATCACGACTAATTTAAACCAGTAGATATAGATAGATGATAGACAGACAGATGATAGATAGATAGATAGATAGATAGATAGATAGATAGATAGATAGATAGGACATGAAGTTGGGATAGAGATGTGCTGGGTATCCTGGGAAAGTTTATGGGTGGAGCTGAAGTAGATATGAAGATATGATCCTCATGCGTTGTATCCATTCACAAAACTTTTGAAGAATAACTAAAAGAGGAGTGTACAGTCATATATCTTTACAGAGCATTTCAGGAAATTTAAGAATTATGCTTTTAAAACAAATCATGTATATTTTTTAATTTTCAAGCCTCATGTAAATTTCCTTACACATTAAGCAAACCAAAAAGCAGGGCAAACAACCCATGGTATCGCTAGAAGATGGAAAGCATGGGCTTAGGCCACAGCTACATAAAACTGCATGGTGCTTTTCTTTCAGCTTCCCCCCCCCTCAAATCATCACTGTGAATGGGACACTTTCAAATTTTTTGAAGTTCCCTTCTTGTCTATGGGTTTATTTTAATCCTTGTTTGGTAGTCAGGTCTACCTATATGAAACCCCAGTTTGTATATTACTTGACACATAACATGTCTGGGAATTGAAGAAATAAGTATGTAAAACATGGAGTTTATTAATACAAATATTCCCTAAAAATTATTGAAAATTAATATTGCTTTATTACTATTGCTCAGCTTTATTTTCAGCAATCTTTCAATTCTGATCTGGCAGGTTTTGTCCCTTCTGTGTGTCTTCGTCCCTTTGGCTTTTTTGTAACTGATTTTTCTTTAAAAATCTCATTGCAAAGCCTAGTGATTTCTGCATCTGCATGGCTGATGTGCTATTTCTCATCCAGAATGTTAAACAATAGGACATATTGTTTTAATTAGAGAGAAGAGAAACTCCTCTATTATGAAATTTTAACTTCATGTTCTAAAAGATAATAACATATTTATAACTATCATTTATCAATTTCCAGCATTTAAATATCTCAATGGTTTACAATATTGAAACAGACAATATACCACTACAGTTTAAGTATTCAATAAAGATGACATATTTTCCTCCATCAAACAGTACAATCAAAACAAAGGAATGACATCCAGTAATATAAATTAAAGGAAAACATTTAAATATTTTCAGTTGCACTATCATGCATTTCTATTCTGTTATGTTTTAATATCTTATTTTTGTAGCAATTTGTGAGCAAATGTGAGAAAGAATAAAAGATCTTTCTAATATGAGGTAGAAGTCAATCTGTTGTCACTCTTTTAACAGAAGAGTTTAAGACA